CATCTGATATTCTTACTAGCATTAAACTTGGGTATGTTGGTGAAAGCATTTGTATATTGGGCCATCAGAGCTGAAGCTAAAACCAACTGGAGAAAACAGGAGTAATTTTATTTTCTCTCTCACCAACTGACCCAAATAAGGGACAGGGTGGAGGAAGGCTGCTCTCAGGTGAGTTATCTGTGCCCCTTTCTGTTGCTTAATAAACCCACACTGTAACTCTATAGGCACTTAAACTCCTAATACTAGGTCGTGTTTAATTACACAAGTCATATTTAACAGGGATAAGAGTCTGTTCCTCGTGGAAAAAATTTAGAAGTCTGGAAGTTAACTTCCTATTTTAGTTCCTGGCTGACAACCATTTTATTGCTTATTGCTTTATCATAATAAATCCAGATGCATTATGTTTAAATTTCTATCTGAGAGCTACTATCAGCTCAGTTTAACTTTCTATTTGAGTACAACCTACTACTTTGATAGTTGTTCCTATCACAGAGCCTGTAGAAAAAATGCTGTTTACCAAATGCAGTAAAGATAAATCTTGGGTGTTGAGACAAACCCAGAGTAATATAAGTTTGATTGCGATTGACTGGAGATGCTGCCACTCAGAATTACCTTTGATTCTGCAGAGTAATTCAATCTTAAACCAAAGAACAAAGGAACAAAATCCCCCAGTTTGCAGAGTTCCTGACTTCTGTAGGGTCAGTGATAATGAACATGCTCCCTGGGAGAGTAAGGCACCACAGGACATACGGCTCTGGAACTTCCAAAGCCCAGGTCCAAGCCATGCCTTAGAAATATATTGCCAGTAAAACTGCTCCCTTGAATAACTTGGCTTTGATTTCCACCAAAATTCTTATTATTCTAGAAGTCTCCTTTCTTACCTCCTACTTTTAGGGTAGCTACTCATCATATTCATTACCCAATATATTTGATCACCATGCTCAGCAGAAATGCTGTAGGAATTAAGGTAACAGGAAACCCACTTTTCCAAGCTTCTCCATGACAAATACGGTATTTAATAAAATAATTCCCCTGCCCAACCTGGAATTTTATGCTCCCTCTGAGCATGACATATTTTGCACCTATGAAGTCAATCAAATGCCAATGTTATTTTTTCTTTTATTACCCAGGGCCAGTAGAGCAGTTTCAGTAAAAATAATTTATACCAACTGTTTCCAGTTAATGGAAATTCAAAGTCTTCAGACAGTATTTTTTATTTCTGGTGCTTGAATTCTCAGAGAAATAGTGAAGCATAATTGATCCCATATGCTTTTTATTGTTTTCCACATGAAAGAATCACGATTTTCAGTGGATCATCGAATTATGCTGCGGCCCTGTGCCAAGTCATCAAACAGCAAGGTCACATGTGATGAAGGTGCAGTGTTCAAAGCAGGAATAGCATGTATCATATCTTGGAATTGAAGGCTTATTTCACTTTGTCTGAGTGAACCCAGCCAAGAAATTTTCTGGGGTTTTCCACAGTCTCCTTGTAAATTATGGGAACAAGTCCAAGAAAACGCGCAAATATTCATCGCTAAACAACAGGATTACAGAACACTCTCGTTTCTAAGAGCACATCACACTGGAGCCAAGCCATTGCTTCAGCCACTTCAGGGATGCTAAGAACCTCCAATATGAGGTTAACTGCACCTTCCATATTTCAGGAATATCACTGACACAGAAAAAGTGTTGCTGGGCATCACATTTGCTGATTGTTTGGAGTATTCATTTATCTGCTTTACATGTCTGCTTCACAAAATCACAGCTGAAAGAGTATTTTTAGAAAATCCTGCCAATTTTTCAGCTTTGGGGGGAAAAAACACTTTTCACTTTGTGTGCAAGTCTGCACCAGGTTAAGGAACTGAACCTTTTTATCATTCTTTGACTAATTCTGTGAATCTACTTCACACTTCTACCTCTGCTGCATCATTTCAAGCCGAAAACTTGCTGGCAGGAGAACATCACCTTCATGACACGTGTCTTCCACAATGGAGCAATTAGGCACACATCCAAGAACTACAATTCCAGCACCAAGTGACAGTCAAACCCTAAGCTTTAAGACTACTTAAGGTCACTGCAGTGCTTCCAGCTTGGACAGGGCTTTAATAAAGGGGAGACACCTTCCATGCTCTGAAAGTTTGGTCTTCACATTATACAAGGAACAACATAACACAGGGAGTGACCAGGCAAACGGGGATATATCTGGAGTTATAAAATCTGAACTGCTCCACAGGGGTGTTGCACATGCCTTTCTCATCAGCACAACAACTTTTCTTTTTCATCTCACATACAAAACCATTTCTAAAGTAATGGATACATCACCAAAAGAATTCATCAGAGGTTGAAGAAATAAAACTTCCATTTAACAGTTCATGACGCCAGTATTACCAGCTGAAGTTCAGTTGGCACTTTTTATCCAGTGGTAGGATTTCTGAGGAGAAACAGGAACCAAGGCAGATTTTATCTCTCAGCACTTCTCAGGCAGGAAATTTAATTTTTCACCTTCTGGAAGGGTTTCAGCTGTAAAGACTTTTGAAGGAACACAATGGCAGTACGACCTAACTTGATGGCTTTAAAGAGAGGAAATACTAAATTTATGGCAAAGACTGTGTTATAATCCAATACCTTGGCCTTTGTTAGAGACAGAACAAAGAGGGGTCTAGGGGATGATCTCAGAATCTTTGTCACCACGGCTCCTCCAGGTCACGTGGATTTATGAAAACAGCAACCCTCCCTCCAAACAAGAGCAGGCAACTAAGACTGAGGAAGAGCCTTGTTAGTCCTCTCTGCACACAAAAATATAAACATGACAATCTTGCTGTTTCAAAGTTCTCCCTGCTTTCTGCCTCTCTGGTTCATAAATCAATTAGCTCCCTTAAAGGATTCCTTTATATCAGATCAAGACCAGAACCCTGAATGGCAGGTTTCTTCAGGGCTTACGCCCTTCATCTGCTGCTTAGACAGAAAGCACAAATAACGGGATGAGAAAACAGTCACAACAGAAATTCTAGCTGATGTTCATCCTAGAAGACTTTTGAATTTGATTGACTGACCTTGAAAATTGGATTTCTCATTCCATAGACCAGTATCTATTGCAAGAGGAGATGGAAAAATTGTAGTAGTATGCATATAGGAGAGAAAAAGCAAATGTTTACCTATCAAATATGTCCAAATATGTGCAAACACCTATCAAGTGTAAATACCTACCTACAAAGTTTTCAAGAGGACAAATATAAAATATTTGTCTCTCTTTTTTTTGGAATTGGTTATGAATGCAGGATTATCCTTTAGTTTTTCTTTTTTCTCCTCTGCCTTTTTTTTTTTTTTTAAATTACACATTCCTGAGTGTCTGCCTAAGGGAATTTGGATGTTCTCAAAGAAAGGGAATGCTTAGGTCTGTCTCGGCAAGGGGAAATAAGATGAGGTTTTGCTGGAAATTGCTACAGAGAAAATAAAAGGATTGGGAAGGAATCTGAAGTATTAAACCCCACCGAAGTCCAGCTCCCCGTTGTGAATCCAGCAGCAGTTTACAGCCAGTTTTGATCTGTGTGTCTTGCCCTCGTTTTCTGAAATAATTTGTATTTATGTTAAATACACACCAACTTCACCCTCTAAAAATGCTAAACCCTCTCACAAATGAGCTCCTGTGTAAATACTGTTGGGTAAACAATAGTCAAAGAAGTCAAGACACTATAACAAATAATTAGAGCTGATGACTGCAGCTATGAAATGCTTTTGCCAGGGGCAAAGAAATTAATAATCCTGCTGTTGTACCATAGCATCTCTTATGCAAAATGCTTGTCTTGACTATTTATTTAGACGTGTGCAATGAGACATGAAGCTATGGTTTCTGTAAAATCCCCCAGGGGAAGCTCAGAGATCCAAAACATCAGGGTTTGGGGCTTTTTTTTGATGTTGTGTTCTGTAATACCCTTTGTATGTGTTTCCCAGCTCTACATATATAAGATTAGAAGCAAAACAGATCACTTCTCCAGCAGAAATTTTGCCATGTGGCTTGAGAGATGGCAAAGCATTCCTTGGTATACTGTCACTCCACATATCCTGCCTCCTTGAAAATTTTATTTGGAGGGTGACAGTAGCAGTAATGTGTGCTGATGATGAGTGCACTCCATTCCTTCAGGCATATTCTGAGGATTTACTATGCTAAACGTTCTTTAAAAGCCATAGGTATACCCTTTGTTTCTATATATTGGCATATATTCCTTCTCACAAATATCCCACAGATTATATTCCCTCTTGTAATATAGAGCCCATCTGGAAATGCTTCCAACTGCACACAGTTCCTATTTCTTTGTGGAATATATTCACCAAAATGGCCAAGCCAAATGGGAGGAAGCGCAGACTTTTAAAAATAAACAAAAGAAACTCAAGACAGTTCTCAGCTTTGCGCTGCTCGTCCAGCCCCAGCTACAGAGTTGAATTAACAACATTTCTACCAGACATCCAAGGACCCTCTGACTTCTCATTTGCTCCTGTTTACAGTGGAATATTTAACACACTAGCAATTCTGTGAAAAGGGCAATGCAATTTCACCTCGTTACTGCTGCACATCCATCGCGGTCGACCATTTCCTCTGCGTCGTTCCAAGCCTGTAACAGCTCTGGATTCCAGGGCCAACAGCATGAACCCAATTATCCCATCTCTCCTACTTCCCACTCTCCTGGGAGCATATTCTGAGCCATCTGCTGTCAGCACCAGTAGGTCTGCAGTCCCTGTAAGTGTGGAAATTAGTTCAGGGTCAAGGAACACGAAAATCTCTTTTCCCACATGTTGGTCACTCTGAGGCCTTGCAAATCACCACTGTCACAATCCCATCCCAAACACGCTCCATGCCCACAGCTCCTCACCAGAACCATCAGTTGCATGGTTCCAAGATGCGAGTTTTTTGGCTTTAACTTCTTTTAGGAGTTCTCACTGTGGATCAGGATAGATGATGAGTGAATGCTCTGCCCATTTTTAAAAGGTATGTGTTTCCTTGCTGAACTCTGCTTGAGAACTTAATTCTCTTCAATGCAAAGAGACAGCCCTTGTGAGCATGAAGGAACGATTCCCAGGGACTGCCACCACTGCTAACAGATGGAGCAGAGCTGTCACCAAAGCAAGCAAGATTTAAATCTCAGCTGGGAGCCCAGGAACTCCTCAGACTCCCTCATCCAGGAGACAGATGATAAACTGGATCCCTATTTCCAACACAGCCACGCTATGGGGAAGATAATCCTGACAGCTTTTGCATTAAATGGCTTCAGACAGATACAACTGGCTTTGCAAACCTAATCAAGGACCTACAGTTGGGACTAGAGACAGATTTCAGATTTCTTTCATTTTTTTTTCCTGACAAAGGTAGTATTTTTCTGTTGCAGACTCTAATGAAAGAAAGGTCCCTAGGAAGCAGAACATGCCTGGTTCACTTTGGTAAGCAGAGGACCAGTTTGAGACTTGGGAATTACGTCCTCCGACAAGGGCCTCGCATCCTTCTCCAGAAACTCTGCTTAGCTTAGGGAAATGTAGATTATTATTATTCTAGGGGAAAAATAAATCAAAATGCCACAGTTCTCTCTGGAACGAGACAGGATTAGAATATTATACAGGAATACCAAGAGGGAAGATCAAATTCCTTTTTGGCATCCGGAACCAAACTCTGCAGCATGAGCATATTTTTGGCTCTCTTTTGGCTTATTTAGACAGTAGCACTGACTCTGCAATTACACCTTTTAATATTGCAGAGTAGTAATTATCTCTCCCTCTTTTATTCACATTTGTCACAGCAACTCCCAATCAAGCACAGAAACTTTATATAAGATAAATGTGACTGAGCAAATCTGAAACTCAGCATCACTTCTTCTTGCCTTTCAAGGCAGCAGATAAAGACAAAAAGTGTTCCTGGAAGATTAACTTGATTAATAAAAACATCTGCAGGCTCAGTGCTGGAAAAAATAAAACTCCTCATCCTTTTGCTAGGAAATCTATCAGTGTAGATTGATAGATGTGCTATTTTTCTAACAATGAATAAAACAGCTGAGATATACTTTGTTATGTATGTAGGGAGCCCAGTAAAAAACACAGATAATCTAGAATATTGTGTTAATGTGGAACTATCACTGACAAATATTGATGACACTGGAAAGCTGGAAGAGAAATGCTTCAATACTCTCATTGTCCAAGACAATCAGAAAACTCATCTGACTACGCTAATCCCAAAAATAGGAACCATACCAGGGATTTCCAGCTAACAGCTTTCCTAACTGAAATTGGAAAGGCAGCAAAAACTCCTGGCTGTCAGACTGCACTACCAGGTTTCCACAAATGTACAGAAAGGTCACATGGGTTTCATGAATTGGGTGTTAGAAGCATGTTCATGGAATAATGTGGTTAATGCCCGAGGTCTGATCATTTGAATAGCCTTTAGCTCTCAGAGCTTTTCAGAAAGCATTTGAGAGCACTGAACATCTTGAGCAGTTCTGAAACAAAGGCTGCTTAGGACCAACAACATCCAAAAGGCTTGAAATGCTGCATGAAGTGCCCTGGTAGAATAGATGGATATAAATCTATCCTTTCCAGGAAAAGCCATGAGTGCCTCAAGGCTGTCTGCTTCCTCTCCTTTTAACTTTTCCGTGGAGACAGGCACTACTTATGCATCCTGTGTCCATCCCATGTCTTATGCTATGGATACAATACTGCTGGTGTGACGTCCAGGTAACCAGGACTGCTACAATCAATGGCACAGCTAATGTCAGGTGACTGAGAGAAAACATAAAAGCACTTCCAGGTCTCTTCTGTACTTTACCTGTTCTAGCTCACTTTGGTGGGCTTCCCTCACCAACATACTTTATATCCATATACACCCAGGAGAGTCTCCCCACTGTCTGTAATGGGAACAGACTCTGGCCTATGGAGCACTTTTGAAAATCCCCTCCCCAGAGACAGGAGGGAAGCACAAGCCACCATAATCACATTGAGAAAGATCAGAAACATGTAAGCAGCCTGTTACCCAGACCTTTCCAAAATTAATAACCCCACCCAGCAAAAATGATAGAGACCAACCTCTGCCCCCCACGTGGAGATGATCACAGGAGTGGGGGCAGCATCTCTAAATGAATCCTTATGCACTTTCCACAAGGCAACAAAGAGAACAAAAACAAGGGGTCACAACAGCACTTTGTGCCATATTCTTCCAGGAATGTATTCTCTTTTCTTTTAAAACATTCAAGTCTTCTTCACCTTCTCATGACTTGCTCTCAGATCACCAAGCAAGACACAACTATTCCATTTCCAGATGAACTTGTACTATAACAATTCAGGGTTATGACAGGAAGACAAAACATTCCTGCTGTTGCTTGCTATGCTGCTAATTGTTCCTATTTCGTTTATTTTTCTGGCAAAAAAAGTAGGATTCACAAACAGTGGAAACCATCCTCCAAACAGCACATTATTCCATTGAAATGCAAGGCTTTCTAAGTGGTGATAATGTACAGCAGAGCACAAGAGTCACCAGGGTGAGCTGCTGCTGCTGTGGAACTGCTTGGAAAATGTTTCTTTTCCTTTTTCTTGGAAAATAAACGGAGAACACGGGCTGAAGTGTAGAGTCCTGAGATACCCAGATAGTGATCCCAAGGCAAGAAATCCTGCCTGCAAGGCTCCCTTTCACAGCCATCTACTCCTGCAATTGTCATTCCCATTTGCACCCACTTCCTACCTCACCTTGCAGAGTGGAACAGCATCCGAGTGCTGCACAGTGGTAACAGGTGGTGACAATCCCACGGATTTCCTTGAAGATAATATGGGAAATGAAGTTTTCACTGCCTGGCCCACACTCCTAATGTAAGAATGTGAGAAGAGTATGGAGGACAGCTGAGAGGGGAGGATCTGCTTCTGATTAGAGGGGAGGAATATTGTACTCTTTGTGTGAAGGCTCCAGGACCAGAAATCATCCTATGCCAATGCTGCCTCTGAATTTTAATCTTACTGACTCCATAGCCACCTAATTCCAGCTGAGGTACTTAGGGACAACTGATGCTCTGCTCTCCAAACATGTTCTGCACACAGTAATGCTCAGCCATATTGGAGGCACAGTGCTCTTCCTGCACTTGGAAAAAAGGGAAGTGATTCCAGCAAACGTAAAGAATTTATCTCTTTGTTCATTCTGAGCACAGAGAGTAACACTAATGTCTCAAACATATCAAGAGACTTATTTCCTGAGAAGTGTTTCCTGAGTTAGTTCAGAATGATTTCTAAGAGCTCACCACAGCTGATAGTCAAAATAAATCAAATTGCAAACAATGTGTAAAAAGGTCCTCAGTTAAACTGCCAGTCACATCTGAGAAAACAAGTATCACACATCTATATGCCATAAATTCCCAGAAGCATTCCATTGCTGCTTTGCAGTGGAAGCTCCACTAAACTCAGACTTAGACAGAGCCATAAATACAGCAGTGAGGTGCAATTAAACAGCTCCCAGCGTAAGCCATGGGTTTTACACTCCTTTTGCAGTGTTATAAAACAGTTCCATCCAGCACAGGCGAGCAATGAATCATTGCACTCAAACAACAGGACCCATCCTGCAGTCAAGGGAATCTCATTTCATTCCTGGGAGAGGACAATGTTTTGTCCCCCCTCCAAGGAAATCAGAGGAATTTACGCTGCAGAAAGGACTCCAAAGCAAACACCCAAAGCAGTGATGCACTGAACACTACCTTCCAACCTGGAAACCACATTAGTTGGGGCTGCACAGCCCTTTCCCAGTTTAAGAAGACCTGAACAGTGGGTTTGCTAACTCAGGCCAAGAGCCAGGCTCTGCTGCTTCTAGTGTCAGTGCTGGTTTATCTACAGGCTACTGAGTTCCACCTTATGGCTGTTCCAAATCAGAGCAAACTTAAGAGGTCTTGGCTCTCCTTTTGCAGTTACTTTTGTCCTAACTACATGTGCAGATTTATAAAGAAACCTAAGCAGCAAATGCAGAGGGCTGAATGCCATCAAGCATCAGGCTCACTGAGGATGCATTCTGCTTAGTTCAACAGATGATAAATTCAGAGGGGGCTAATTTCTAGTGGTGTCAACTAATGCAGAATGACATTGTATGTTTTACTATAACTGCAACAAGCATTAGGATTCCTGCATACAACCTCTGAACTCATTCAGGTGGAAAAACCAGAAAAATTTTGAATGGTACTCAATACATGGGATTTCAATAAATGCATACCACCAGTAATAAATGTGACAATAAGGGAGGTAAACAAGCAAGCAAAATACCACCAGTTATTTGCAACAGTGCCATCAATGCTGGACCCGTTTTAAGAGGTTCAAGTTGAATGTGCTGTATTCCAACAGTCTGATGTTTGATGCTACAGCCAGAAAAAGAGAGACATTTCCAGCCCCACGTCGCTGTCTGGGCGGAAGGCAGGGAGACCTTTGATGTGGATACAGAACACACACCCCTCAACTTCATGTCAGTGTTCCAGTTTACTTTGCTTCTGGCTTTACATACAACATATGTTCAGTTATCAGAGGTTTTCTGCATATTACATCACTGTTACAAGTGACCTCATGAACTCCCACCACTAATTCAAAAGGATTAGTGACACTTGCTCGACATCGCTTTGAACTTACTTCTACTGAAGGATGGGCTGGTGAACAGAAGTACATCCTCCTGCAAAAATAATAGAAAATAGACTTTGGTATCTGTCAGAAACATGTGTATCAGCAGGCAACCTCCTGTTACAACAGAGAATTACTTTTGATAAGGCACACAGCTTTGATCAAACCCTCATACTCTGTTCAAATACATTCACCCCCATTGTCTTATGCAGTTCCAGTGGCTAAGCAACTTCAGCTTCAATTACTGCAGCCTGGCTTGTGATAGATCACAGAATCAAATAGCCACAGTAAATTATACAGAGTTCTAGATCATAGCTGTTTCCCAAGTATTCCCAAGAACTTGAGGACAAAAGGCATTCAGGGGTTTACAGTTCTCAAACAAGATTTTGCACTGAAAATACCTTTTTCTTTCTTTGAAATAATGAAAAAAAAAAGCTGGTTTTGTACTTTAAAGAAAAATCCACCTTTAATTAATTACAGGATAAACAAACCATGCAGTCATTTTTTGGTTTAAATTTCTGATGTGTTACTTTCCAGTGTAGCTGGAAAGTTACTTTCCAGTGTAGCCATTTAAGGCTTTGTTTTGTTGTTCAGATTTGGAAATAGAGAAATATGAGGAGAATTAATTGAGGAGTAGACAACAAATAAATAAAAGAGTGCAGCACAAAAGCACTGTCTGTTTTTTCACTGAAAATTGTCCCATCTGACACTAAGACACTCTCTTTGCTGTAATGTCAGAAGCAAAGGTTCACGAGGAAACTAAGGGGTCCTGCCTTTGCCACTTTGGGATTCAGAGCCTTGGGTTATAAAACCAGCTTTTCCAAGGATAAAAACAACCACAAAAAACATCCTTTAAAGACAGATGCACCTGCCTCCCTTCCTCTCTCCTCAGACTGGCACATCCCCAGCTGTAACAAACTCTTTTATCCCAGGCCATTGCTCTGCAAAACAGTACAACCAGAGGGCAAAATTCAGTCATATAATGTGTATGTTATAAAGGTAAAAATAAAACCACTGCAATGTGTACATTCACAAAGCACATGTTTTGCTTTATACAATTGTTCTTCACATCCAGCTCTTGTTTCTCTCTCCTTCAACTGCAGGGAAGACCACTTGTCTTATGATGAGTGTACAGCCCTTAGCACAGCTGTCAAGCAACTCCAGAGTTGACTGAAATCTAGAAGACAAATAAGACAATGGAACCCACACACAGTTAATCTCAGCAAATCTCAAGATCAAGTATCTGCCCTGAAACAATCAGCCCTTTAAAGGCAGCATGCAGCTTTCACCTTTTTGCCGAGTTTCATAACATTTTTTTCATACACAGAAAGATGAGGGGGGGTGGTGTGAAAATTAACTAAGTGTCACGTCACTCCAAGAATTTGACACAAAACAATGCAATACACTGTTATCCTTTAAAACTGACCCATGTTGGAATTTGGCCAGTGCTTCACCATTGGAAATACAGTTTGCATATTGTCACATATTTTAAATATGTGGGCAACAATATATATCAAAAGCAGATTTTTCTCACATGGGGGAAAAGGAAAAAAAAATTACAAAAACATAGCCAAATTTTAAGTTAAACCAAATCCAAATAATAATCCCCAGGCAACCATTAATTGTATGGTGTCCTCACTCAATTGAAAAGCCACTGCTGCATCTGTGGCTTAAGGGGCAGGGATGGGAGAGATGGGAGAGCTCTGCTGATCAAATAAACCACAGTACTTAATGCAAATGGAATATTACATAGTTTAAGACAGCAGATAATACAGGCTGAGTGTGTTGGGTTAGCCCCACGGCTTACAGCAGTGATATCCATTGCCTTCCACTAAATACAATTCACAATTCTATCCATTAATAATTCACATGTAGGACAATATCAATCTGAAGGGCAATGCCAAGCAATCTCTTTTTGGCCAACAATGTCTGTGCCCCTTCTACTGGGTCACAGAATCAGATCTTCTACTAAGAGAAAGTCAACATAACTCTCCTGAACTCTGTGCATATGTTAGTTTACACACCACTCATAACAAGAGCTGACAGTTCCATTCTGCAGTTCAGATCTCTGAGTTTTCAGTCTTTAAATTCAATTTTTACCTGGATGCAATTTGCTTCAGAAACTTTATAACAAGATACACTTCCACGGGCTGTAACTCACCCTAAAAAAATCTCTGTTTAAAAGTATCAACTTTTAAAGCTGTTAACAAACGTTCCAGACTTGAATGCCAAAACCTTGGCTCAGATCACACTTGGTCCTCATGGGAATTTAACACTTGAAAATGGCAGCCCTTATAAGAAATAGCTGCAGAGTTTTTTGACTGGCTGCCTCCTTCTGAAATCTTGCTGAGTTTTGCAATTTTTGCCTTTCTACAGTGAGACAGAACTGAAGAACTGGAGCGAAATGAGTTTGTCTTGAATGCACTGGCATTGAAACTACAGTTAGATAAAAAATATCAAGTAAGTTCTGTAAATGATTATGTTCCCATGAGTTCAGTGGAACACGTGACTTGCTGCTTTTATCTTTCAAGAGACTAATTGGGAAGCAAATTTCCAAGTTCCATGCCTGACTGCACAAGGAAGATGAATTTTGAATAACCTACAAATCCCAACCCACCGAGGACTCGTCTCCTTCTCCAATAGGAAACACAAAGGGTGCCACGTGACCGAGCCGAAACCTAACGCTGTTTGAATTTCAAACAGCACATTAACACGCTGAGAAAGGCAACCACAAATACCAGCCCTGAGCAGGCGAGAAGGAACATAGTCAGCCTCACAGATATTCCTTCAGAGGACAGAGAAGTTAAATTACTCAAAAAGCTATTCACTGTAGACTTTTCACTGGGATCTAGTTAAAATGTAAACAACCACTGAAAATTCAGTTTGTTTTTCCACTTCCTGTGTTATGCAACGTCCTCAAGTTACACAAGGCTGTTTTTTCAGCTGGATCACAACATGGTAGCATTTGCAGACCAGTGCTGATGTTTCATTAATGATCTCCATAACAAGAAGATCATTGTTTTCCTTCATGTAAATGCTGGCTAAATTACAAACACATTAAAATTTACTACATTCTTTTTGATGGCCCAGTATCAGAGAGAAGGTCATGTTTCCTACTAGTAAGGACACTCCAACAACGTGGAGGCTATTTTGGGTGATTAAAAAAGCCACAGAGTTAATGAAGTCTGCCAGCAAAGGAGGAAATCTTGGTTGTTCATGTCAGAACAAGAAGAGAACTCGGTTTGTTAGGTGACATCCAAACTACTCTGTATAAAAAACCATCTTGTGCAGCTGAAACTCTTCTCAAAGAGTCCAGACTAACAGCTGACTCAGAATAGCTTCAATTTTAGCTTTACCACAGCCTCCAGAGCATGGTAGGGCCAATCCATTATTTCATTCGTCATTTATCAACCACAAACTACAAGCAGTATTTATCTTCATTTTTCTTAACTATTGATCTAAACTGTAAGCTCACTGTTTGGAATAACTAACTAGTTACACTAGAAAGTAAAAATAGCACCCCAGGCTGCGAAAGAGAGCAAGCAGAAGACCACAGTGCACACATCAAATAAAACTGTAGCTCTTAGAGTAACATTTTCAATTGACAGTGAGGTTTCAGTGCACAAATCACTCAGCAAATACATTTTCCCAAATGAAAATTATTTAGCATAGTAATGAACTATTATCATATTGAGAAAAAAACCAAAATCACATTCCACGTGGAGCCACACTTAGTTTCAGGTACAAACTGAGGGACCTGACACCTTGTCATCTGACACAACATCTCCTTCTCTCATGAATGCTTGTGGGTTTCATTATGCTTCTTCCAGAAATCCTCAGATGTTGGATAACTACAAATGTAGTAAGGAACCAAGTATCCTGATATCTGTGTTCCCAGTTTCTGCTTGGACACAGAATCACAAGCAGCCAGTCTCCAGTGCTCTTCTGAATGAGCCTAACGATGCTGACTGGCTGCCTCTGTTCATGCAGCTCTGAAAATGTCAGAAAAATGTGATTTAAAAAAACCCAGTATTTGAGCAGTTCAGTAAAATAGGCATATTTTACTGCAGGTAATAGTGACAACTGCATTGCATCAAAGTTAAAAATACATTACAAGGCGTGTCAAAGATCCCTACAAAACTATGTTCTGGTATCTTGAGCTCTGCATAATTACTCACGTTAGAAAAAACTCTGATGCAAAGAAAGTGTTAACTTTCCTTTACAGAAAAACATTCCTGCTTTTACCACTGGCAGTCACATTTTCCTAGGTCACATCTTATCCTAGTAATCCACAGCAGTGCACAGCCACAGCACTGGGAGTTTGAGCAGGGATCAAGATCTGGCAGGTGCCTCTGGAGAAAGCCTGCAAAAACACTGGGAAAAATATTGGTTCAAGTTGTGAAATCAGCAGGGAATACACCACTCATTTTGCACTTTTGTTCTTGTGCTTGGAAGGAAAATAGATGAATGCATCTTTCCAGATTTCTTGGAGAAAGATCTAAACACAGAGAAAGATGGCCAGGAAAGGAAGCGTTGAAAAGTTGACATGTGCAACAGCAAGAATAACCTGAAGGGAAAAGGCAAAGAGGGAAAAAAAAGACTAAGAGGGAAACAGATTTGGGATCATACCTAATCTATTCCAAGAAAAAAATGCAAGAAAAGGTTCAGTGGAATTGAGAACACAACGGTAAAATCTTCCAAGGAAACACTCCTGACATGTGCCAGGACTTCTGCAACAGCTAAAGTTCCCTCTATTTCACATGAAAACCACCTCAACTTAGATCAAATGAGTTCCTTGTGCATCTCATCTGCTCTATTCCTAGACTGACATATTCTCTCCTAAGTTTACACATCCTACCCTGCAAAGCCCCACTTTTTGTCCATTTCTGCTAGAGAAAAACAATGTTAATAGCCTGTTGCCAGCACATTCTCACTGGTTATTCCAGCCACTGCACTGCAATATCAGAGCAACAAGAATAGTGTGAGGAAACACTTCAGGCTCCAAGGAGGTAAATTTGTGTTCAAAAAGCAAATATGGCCAAATGAAGCATA